AATGCGTTCAAATTTGTTAAGAAAACTCGTGTAAAACAGTAACTTCATAAATCTTGTTCTCTTTGGGTATAAATTTGAAAATTATCAAATCTGTGTCATTAGAACCGGTAATGAGTCTAGTTTCTTAAATTTTTGGCCTTACATTGATTGCTCGTGTGTACTAAGAGAACCATTAATTTCTTTAATTATAAATAATTATTTTGATAAGAAAAGCAAGTAAAACAAATTGGGTTTGAACCTTAGGATATATTAGTTGATATCTGGAGGGTTTTGGAATTTTTCGAACAACGTGGAGTGGGTTTTGTAATTTTCAAAGTTAGCGAATAGATTGGTAAAACTTGTTTAAAACTCTGTTTTATCTTAAAGTTACTTTTAATTAAGTTTCGATCTGAACACATGTCTTGGGTGATTTTAGATCTTGAAGAACATGAGCTTAGGTAATATTTAAGAGTAACGATGAGTTGGGTTGAGCCGTGTTAGTGCTCTTTAATTTGGGGTTACTTAGTTCTTATTCTTTAGTATTTTTAAATTATTAGCGACGTGTAGTTTTCATACTTGGTTAAAGGCACTAGTTGGACTTTTATACTCTATTCCATGATTACATTATTCCGTTTTTAGGTGAGTAGTTGCACGCTACATATTTTTATAAATGTTCCCTTACCCTGAACTGTTGGAAAATTTAATTGTTGTTTCAGGACTAAACTATTTTCATAAATTATTATATTATCAATGGAATTAAATTATTTCTACTAAACTATTTGTTATGGTCTCATGTTTATAATAGTGAACTACCATGTTTTGTGAAATTGAATTGTATCTATTATTGGGACCATCTATATGTTTAGTCCGGGGGAAATTATTCCACTGTGTGTGGTGACTCTGGCCACTAGGGAATAAATCCGAGTTGGGCCGTGATGACTCTAGTGCTCAACGATTGTAAGGAAAAGACCTAGGCTAGGTTAGGTGACATTCAATCAGATCGTCTTGGAGGAAAGGCCAGGTTGCCACCCCGAGGATGACTCTTAGTTCAATATTGGATCCAACGGACTTATTGCCTTGAGAATTGTGTGGCATGTTACTTGTTATTCTTGGTACCCAGAAAATTACTGGTGTTCATGTTGTAATCTATTTTAAGTGGAAACTGTCATTTATTATGTTCTCGAGAGACATGAGTATTTTAACTATTGAACTGTGGAACCTTCTTTTTGAAACAGATTATCTTTATCAAAACTGTATGCGAATCTAGTTTCTGTGATACATATCTTATTTTGGAATTGATCCCTGTTTTCAAAACTGTATATACTATCCATGTTGCTACTCACTGAGCTATCAGTTGACTTAGTTGTTTATCATTTCTAGGTGTTAGAAGGACTTAGAGTGTACTCATGGCGTAACAGGTACTCAATTGCATGGACCTCTAGGACATTCATTTATTTTGTTTTAGATTGTTATGTCAAGTTTGTACATATTTCTTTTTATTTTTATTGAGGTTCATTTAGGATTGTTTTGATATGTGGGCTGTTTATATCTCATAAGTTTGAATGGTATTGATTACGGTTGGTTGTGCCGTTTATATATGTCGTATGTCACTGGATTGAGTTTTGGTTATTTATTACTAGACTATTGTACAGTTGTTCAATGTGATTATGGATTCATGTTTAGGCTTATGTGTGCCTTGGGCTAAGGTCCTATAGGCCATGACCGGTCATACTCGGGTTTGTGGTGTGACAGGTTTTATGATTATTATGTTAATATTCATCTTATTGGGAGTTGTAAGAATGGTTTTTGGCAGGAACTATACAATTTTGGGGACAAAATTTCTTAAGGGGGGTAAGCTGTAATTGCTGACTTTGGGTGACCGCTCGAGCGAAGAATTGTTACTCCTAATATCTCACAGGTTTACGGGTGAGACCGCTCGAGCGAAGGAGTTGTAGCTCGAGCGTAAAATGTGAGCTCCCACTATTTTCACTCTAGCTCTTCAAAACTTCTGAGACTTTGTTTTTGTCACTCAAGCGGTGGATAGTTCGCTCAAGCGGTCCCTTAGTATTTTGGAACTTTGCTCGAGCGATGGAAGTCTCGCTCTTCCATCGCTCAAGCAGTCATGTCGGGACAGCAGACTTTAAAACACGAACTGAATTCATTTTAAACCCATTTTTCATCCATTTTCTCTCATATCCTGTAATAACCCGACCCTCGTATAAGTTTTCTAATATATTCCCAGTTCTTGTTTTAAGTTTTTGAATGCTCACCGTGAAATTCTATGAGAAATTAGGGATAAGAAAGTGAACTCCATGTTTAAGGCATGTTTAAGGGAGTCTATCTGTTTAACAAGACAAGTATCTGTTACATGAGAATGCTTAAATCAGAAATTGGAAGCCTTAGAGGCTTAATTATCCGAAATTGATTTCACATATGTAATCAGCATAATTTTTAAGTAATATTAAGCGCTTCTGTGAAATTTCAATTTGGGGATGCTTAAACGATTAATTTTCGTCCCTATTCAAGCTTTATATATATATATACATGCTTATAAGAGTCTTATTGACCTTAAGACTTAGGAATCATACATCTCCTGAGAGAAGGTGAGGAGAGAAAGAAATTAAAGGGTAGAGGGAGGAGATCATAAAAAAGGTTGGGAATTTGAGGAAGTTTAAGCACAAGGTATGTATAAGGCTATCTCAATTAACTCCCATAACTCTTCTTCTTAGGATGTGTGAAATACCCTCATGATCATGTCACTTAGGGGTTGAAATGATGATTCTATATGTGTGTAAGAAGTTAATGGACAGGATAACCTTACTTGGTTGTTTGATTCAATTGAAATTAACCATGGAGAAGTTATATTTTATCTTCTTACTTTGAACTCAAGTGTGTGAGCATGGCTTTATGTCAAAGTATGCTTATGGGCATGTAAAGAAAGAACTCTTATGGACTTGTGTATGTTGAACTAAAGTATATTAGTTTGATGTATGTAATTGTCATTGTATTTATATGAATTTGGGTCATGTTTTACCAATTAGGAAAGTTATTTTGAGCCTTGTTCATGTTTTCCAAAAGGTGGGATTTTGTAAGAATTTTCGGACAATTTTGGGCAGAATCGCCGCACGTGCGGAGGTCATGGCCGCACGTGCGAGAGGTGCTGCCGCACGTGCGGGAGTCATGGCCGTACGTGCGGGAAATGGTGAAAAATAGGGGCTTGGCCACTGTCTAAAAGGCACGTGTGGGACATTTTGCCGCATGTGCGGGAGAGCTTGCCGCACGTGCGGGGCTCACAGCCGCACGTGCGGCCCATGCTGAAAAACGTGGATTGCACCGTTTTACGTGTAGAACCCTCTAATGTTGTCGGAATATGTATTTGATGTCTTTTAATATGTATAAATTCCTTCGAAGTAAAATGAAACAGAAAGTAATTTGATATGAAAAGGAAACTAAATTGTAAAGGTTGAATGTGTGCAGGGCACACTCCGGGAGGAACAAGCACATCATCACAACACTGTGAGTAGTAGTATCATTATCCACTTTACATATGGCCAATGATTCTTATTAGCATTTTGTTTGCGCACGATATGCAACTATGTTAATGTTTCAAGTGTGTATGTATGAAAAAGAGAAAGAAAAAAAAAGAAATGGAAAAGATGAAGTACCTTCCTTCTATAAGATTCTGGGCCTACGGCCATTCAATATGAGTTGTTATGATATGAAACAAAGTGCTACACGGAACTAAGTGCTACGACGTGAGCCACCTCTAGAATCCGTGTGAGACACCTCTTGAGTTCGTATAAGTATGTTTAAGGGCTTTATGCCGTCATGTTTAAGGGCTTTATGCCATCATGTTAAGGGCTTTATGCCGCCATGTTTAAGGGCTTTATGCCATCATGTTAAGGGCTTTATTCCGCCATGTTTAAGGGCTTTACACCGCCATGTTTAAGGGCTTTATGCCGCCATGTTTAAGGGCTTTATGCCATCATGTTCAAGGGCATTATGCCACCATGTTCACGGGCTTTAAGCCATTATGATTTAAGATATGATGTTTCAAGCTTTTATGTTCAAGTTTGGGCCTTAGGCCGTTATGAAATGAACACAGAATCAGGCTAACCTTGTGATCTCTGCACTTCCATATGTATTGATATATGTCATGTCTCAAGTTAAGCATTGTTTCATTTAAATATTACTATTCACTGAGCCTGGCTCACTCTCTATATGTCTGTTTCGGTAGGTAACCAACCAGGTAGTTAGTTCTAACCCATGACGCCCGGTTTCTTTTGTCAACCTTCGTATGTCCAGGCACTATCCAAGGCCACTTATTTTGTGAAGTTTGTTGAGTGTTGGCTTACTTTTGATTGGCCACCTAAGGATGAATGTATATAACTTCAATAGTTTTGTACATGCCCGATTATAGGGCTGGGTATGTATATGTGTTTGTGTATAAGTACTGCTAAGGAATATTTTTGGACTTTATCGGCCTATTATGGTGCATGTGACGTATGAGATCCTGGCATATTAGAAATAGCTCAATGGAGTTTGTTTGGTTTAATAGTCTTTTAATATTTTGTGCTTCCGATAAGGCCCAATATGCTATATATACCAGGTTATATGTCTGTTTTTGAATGGGTCATGCCCGAACTTTTAGAGGCAAGTTTGGGGTTGACAAGTGGTATCAGAGCACGAGTTGCTATCTCACACACGGATCCATTGGGCTTTAGGGTGTCTAGAAAAGCTTTAGGCATCTTGCATGAGATTCTAAAAGTATGTGAAAGAGCGATGGCAACGTTAAGTCTACTCTGATAATGCTAACACTTTTGAAATATGTCTATTGTGTATAAATGATTATTGTGTAGGCAATGGTGAGAACAAGGACAGAAGATACAGAAGATGCTACTTCTGCCTGGCTGGATAGAATGGAGAGAATGATTATGGAAATGGCGGAGACCCTACGGCAACAACAGCAACAGCCACAACAACCACCACCACCACCACCACCACCGGTATCTCCACTGGCAATGCAAGATTTCCATGTTGAAGACCGGACTATCACCCTTACTAAGGAGTTTAAAAAGATGAAACCGCCATCCTTTAAAGGAGGGATAGAACCAATGAAAGCTGAAGCATGGGTGTTGGGAATAGAGAAGCTATTTGAAGTCTTTCCCTGCACAGAAGTTCAGAAGGTGCAATTGGCTGCTTTTACTCTTGAGGATGAGGCACGCAGATGGTGGATGCTTACGAGAACTGTACACCAAGGATTGACATGGGACAGATTCTTAGAATTGTTTTATGACAAGTACTTCCCTCAAAGCATGCGGGTTAAGAAGGTAACAGAATTCGAAACTCTCAGGCAAGGGAACAAAACCGTCGCCGAATACGAAGCCCAATTTACAGAATTAGCTCGGTTTGCACCTCATATGGTGGACACGGATTATAAGAATCCGCGTAAATTTGAAGGGGGATTGCGGAGCGCTATCTTGGATAAGGTCAACATGTTGAAGTTACCCACATACGTTGATGTGTTGGAGAGGGCTGTTATAGCGGAAGGGAATCTCGCTACTCAGAGTCGAATTTCGGAATGGAAAGGGAAGAGGCAAAATACTCAATGGTCGAAGGGATCACCTACTCCGCCAAACATGAAGCAAACTTTAGGGAATTTAAATACTACTACCCCTAGCCAGGACTTAATGCCGACTTGTCCGGAATGTGGGAAGAAGCATCGTGGGACGTGCTATCGGAAGTCTGGAGCCTGTTTTTAGTGTGGTAAGACGGGTCATTTGATCAAGGATTGCCCTCAAAGAAGTCAACAGAGTAATAATAGGACCGCTACAAGTTCAGTGGGGTCTGCACCAACTTCTAACACCAAGGCAACTGCTAAACCTACTAATAATAAAGACACTGCGAGACAGGGCAGGGTGTTCGCATTGGTTCCGGGAGATGTGCAAAATGCGGCAACAGTGGTGTCATGTACATTTATTGTTCACGGTCATTTCGCTCATGTATTATTTGATTCTGGCTCCACCCACTCTTTTGTGTCGAAACTATTTGCTCCTAATTTAGATAAAACTAAAGAAAAATTATCTTATATGTTGTGTGTGTCTTCACCTTTGGGAGGCCCTATGATTTGTACTTCTGTATATGCTGCTTGTGAACTCCAACTTGGGGATATTCGGGTATATGCCAATTTGTTACCTCCTGATATGGCCTATTTTGATATTATTCTGGGAATGGACTGGTTGGGTGAATATGGTGCAACTATAGATTGTTTGACTAAACAAATCAGTTTCCACCCTCCGGGACAATCAGGGTCTCCCTTTCAGGGACATGGAGTGACTTCTCCACCTTATTTAATTTCCGCAGCAAGGGCTTGTAAATTAATTCAGAAAGGGTGTCAGGGGTACTTATGCAGTGTTCTAGAGGGGGAAGTGGTGAATGGGAATACCGACATGATCCCAGTTGTCTGTGAATTTCCGGACGTTTTTCCAGAAGAATTACCAGGGCAGTTAATAGACCGTGAAATTGAGTTTACAATTGAAGTAGCACCGGGAACTCAACCCATTTCTAAGACTCCGTATAGAATGTCGCCAGCTGAGATGAAAGAATTGAAGATGCAGTTGCAAGATTTACTGGACAAGGGATTTATCCGTCCGAGTGTATCTCCGTGGGGTGCACCAGTTTTGTTTGTAAAGAAGAAGGATGGAACACTCCGGCTTTGTATCGATTACAGAGAACTTAACAAAGTCACAATCAAGAATAAGTATCCATTGCCAAGAATCGATGATCTATTTGATCAACTTCAAGGGGCACAGGTCTTTTCTAAGATTGATCTACGGTCTGGATACCATCAATTAAAAGTCAAAGCTGATGACGTTGAGAAGACAGCTTTTCGAACTCGGTACGGTCATTATGAATTTTTGGTCATGCCCCTTAGAGTTACTAACGCCCCAGCAGCCTTTATGGATTTGATGAACCGCGTCTTTAAGTCCTATTTGGATGAATTTGTGGTGGTCTTTATTGACGATATCCTCATTTATTCAAAGAATGCGGAAGCTCATGAGACCCATCTTTGCTTAATTCTTCAAACCCTCCGGGAAAAGAAATTGTATGCAAAGCTAAAGAAATGTGAATTCTGGCTACTCGAGGTGGCATTTCTGGGGCATATTATCACAAAGGAAGGAGTTTCTGTTGATCCACACAAAATTGAGGCGATTGTGAAATGGCCGACGCCTACCAATGTGACCGAAGTGCGTAGTTTTATGGGGTTAGCTGGCTATTACAGAAGATTTGTTCAAGATTTTTCTAAAATTGCTGTGCCACTTACACAATTGACTCGAAAGGGAGTTGCATATGAATGGTCAAAAGAGCGGGAATCTGCTTTCCAAGAATTGAAGATGAAGTTAACCACAGCTCGAGTTCTGGCTTTACCGTCTGGCACCGAAGGGTTTGTAATTTACAGTGATGCGTCCCATAAAGGATTAGGGTGTGTGCTTATGCAAGGTGGAAGGGTTATCGCCTATGCTTCACGACAGCTTAAACCCTATGAAAAGAATTATCCCACGCATGATCTTGAGCTCACGGCGGTAGTTTTTGCTTTAAAGATATGGCGGCACTATTTGTATGGTACTACCTGTGAAGTTTACACCGACCACAAAAGTCTCAAGTACCTTTTTACCCAGAAGGAATTGAACATGCGGCAACGTCGGTGGTTAGAGTTAATTAAAGACTACGATTTACAGATCCATTATCATCCTGGTAAGGCCAACACGGTTGCAGATGCTCTTAGTCGGAAAAATATGGGAAATTTGGCTAACCTGTTTATGGAGCAAAAGGAATTGGTAAGGGAATTGGATAAAATGAGTGTGGAGTTTAAGATACATGGACAGGAAACAGTACTAGCAGCAGTAATGGCTCAACCGACTTTACTTGAAGAGATCAAGTTACATCAAATGGAGGATGATACTCTAAAGAAGGTATGTGATGAGTTAGAGGTAAAACCAAAACCGGGATTTAGTTTAGAGGATTCGGTTCTCAAATTCCAAAGTCGAGTATGTGTCCCCAATGTGTTGAAGCTTAAACAGAAACTGATGGAAGAAGCACACACTTCAAGATTCGCAATACGTCCAGGGAGTACCAAAATGTACTGAGATTTGAAACAAAATTTTTGGTGGCCAAGTATGAAGAAAGAGATCGCGGAGTTCGTCTCTAAATGTTTGCAATGTCAGCAAGTGAAAGCGGAGCATCAGAGGCCAGCAGGGTTACTACAGCCCCTTCCAATCCCAGAATGGAAGTGGGAACATTTGAGCATGGATTTCGTCGTGGGGTTACCACGGACTCCTCGAGGCATGGATTCAATATGGGTCATTGTGGACCGATTAACTAAGTCCGCCCATTTCTTACCTGTGAAGACTCAATATAATGCAGACAAATTGGCAGTAATTTATGTGAACGAAATTGTAAGGCTGCATGGTGTACCGGTCTCAATTGTGTCAGATAGAGATCTGAAGTTTGTTTCCAGATTTTGGCAGAGTTTACAAGAAGCCATGGGTACCGAGTTAAAGTTCAGCACAGCTTTTCATCCTCAGACTGACGGGCAATCTGAAAGAATGATACAGACTCTAGAGGATATGCTCCGAATGTGTGTGTTAGATTTTCAAGAAAGTTGGGAAACCCACCTACCATTGATAGAGTTCGCATACAACAATAGTTACCACTCAAGTATTGAAATGGCACCCTATGAAGCTCTGTATGGAAGACCATGTCGTTCTCCCGTATGTTGGGCTGAAGTTGGAGATAAATCCTTACTCGGGCCTGAAATTGTTTAGTTGACCACTGAAAAGGTTAAAATTATTCGGGAGAGATTGAAAACTGCTCAAAGTAGACAGAAAAGTTATGCAGACAACCGACGGAGGAACTTAGAATTTAAAGCGGATGATCATGTTTTTATAAAGGTCACTCCGATGAAAGGCCACCCAAGGTTTGGAAAAAGAGGTAAATTGACACCCCGCTATGTTGGTCCCTTTCAAATTCTAGAAAGAGTAGGTCCAGTAGCCTACCGAGTTGCTCTCCCGCCGAATATGAGTCAAGTACATAATGTGTTTCATGTCTCTATGCTTCGCGGATACCTTCCGGATCCGTCACACGTCATTGATTACCACCAAATTGAATTGGAATGCAAGCTAACTTATGAGGAAAAACCAATCCGCATATTGGACCGACAAGTGAAACAATTACGAAATCGAGAAATTCCAATGGTAAAAGTGGAATGGCAAGAGCATCACGGAACTAACGCGACTTGGGAAAGAGAGGAGGAAATGCAACGTCAGTATCCACATTTGTTCCTACCCTAAGGTAAAACAAGTTTGAGGGACCAAACTTATTTAAGGGGGGGAGAGTGTAATAACCCGACCCTCGTATAAGTTTTCTAATATATTCCCAGTTCTTGTTTTAAGTTTTTGAATGCTCATCGTGAAATTCTATGAGAAATTAGGGATAAGAAAGTGAACTCCATGTTTAAGGCATGTTTAAGGGAGTCTATCTGTTTAACAAGACAAGTATATGTTACATGAGAATGCTTAAATCAGAAATTGGAAGCCTTAGAGGCTTAATTATCCGAAATTGATTTCACATATGTAATCAGCATAATTTTTAATTAATATTAAGCGCTTCTGTGAAATTTCAATTTGGGGATGTTTAAACAATTAATTTTCGTCCCTATTCAAGCTTTATATATATATATATATATATATATACATGCTTATAAGAGTCTTATTGACCTTAAGACTTAGGAATCATACATCTCCTGAGAGAAGGTGAGGACAGAAAGAAATTGAAAGGTAGAGGGAGGAGATCATCAAAAAGGTTGGGAATTTGAGGAAGTTTAAGCACAAGGTATGTATAAGGCTATCTCAATTAACTCCCATAACTCTTCTTCTTAGGATGTGTGAAATACCCTCATGATCATGTCACTTAGGGGTTGGAATGATGATTCTATATGTGTGTAAGAAGTTAATGGACAAGATAACCTTACTTGGTTGTTTGATTCAATTGAAATTAACCATGGAGAAGTTATATTTTATCTTCTTACTTTGAACTCAAGTGTGTGAGCATGGCTTTATGTCAAAGTATGCTTATGGGCATGTAAAGAAAGAACTCTTATGGACTTGTGTATGTTGAACTAAAGTATATTAGTTTGATGTATGTAATTGTCATTGTATTTATATGAATTTGGGTCATGTTTTACCAATTAGGAAATTTATTTTGAGCCTTGTTCATGTTTTCCAAAAGGTGGGATTTTGCAAGAATTTTCGGACAATTTTGGGCAGAATCGCCGCACGTGCGGGGGTCATGGCCACACGTGCGGGAGGTGCTGCCGCAAGTGCGGGAGTCATGGCCGCACGTGTGGGAAATGGTGAAAAACAGGGGCTTGGCCACTGTCTAAAAGGCACGTGCGGGACATTTTGCCGCACGTGCGGGAGAGCTTGCCGCACGTGCGGGGCTCACAGCCGCACGTGCGGCCCATGCTGAAAAATGTGGATTGCTCCGTTTTGCATGTAGAACCCTCTAATGTTGTCAGAATATGTATTTGACGTCTTTTAATATGTATAAATTCCTTCGAAGTAAAACGAAACATAAAGTAATTTGATATGAAAAGGAAACTAAATTGTAAAGATTGAATGTGTGCAGGGCACACTCTGGGAGGAACAAGCACATCATCACAACACTGTGAGTAGTAGTATCACTATCCACTTTACATATGGCT